GCAAATATTCTTCTGGCAAAATATATCTGGCAAAAATATAATCCCTAAAGGTTGATCTTTACTTACCTGTAACATTCTTTAAAGTAATATGCCTGCCCATGTCTTGAGTGCCTGCTTGTGTCTGCTTTTCACAACAGACAATGTAAAATCAGGAGTGAAAGTTGGGCAGTTCAGATCAGAAGCTTTTCTGGGTCTGCAACAGAGATGTGAATCTGAATTGTTCAGGGCTTTTAGCTCCACTTTCTCCACCTTCTCTCAGTCATTTATCCCATAGGACAATTCTTATTAACATGTAATTGTTGAGATCCTGTTTGCACCTGGCATGTAGCAAACTGTTCTTAATGTTGCATTTCATGTACAAAAAAAATAAAAAGCTGGCAAAGATGATGAAAGACCTTCCCTTCCAGAAGTGGTTATGAACATTAGGCTTGATTTTATTATGAAAGATAAGAGTGCAGCAGTTCCTAAGGTTTTAGAATGGTATAAACAGCAACGAATAAAATGAAAAATGGACTGGTTTAATGGAAGAAATGACACCTACTGTTTGCTGCAGCCTTTGAGATATTCAAAAAGTGCTAAACATTAAATAATACAAATAATAGTCAGGAAGATTGGGGCAGAACTTCTTTAACTCCGTACTACTTTAATGATTATTTTTGTTTGTACTCATTCTCTTCCTTCAAGGTTATTCTTAATTACCAGTGTGGTAGGTAATACATGGGAATCTTTTGCAACACTAAAGCACTTGAAGATAAGTATGTATATTTTTATTTGTTTGAAAGAAGTGATGTCTATGACAGATACAAAAAAGAAAGAATTTCTGTTCTAAGATGAGAGGTATTCAAGGCAACAAAACTTGGATTTAGAAATGCACAAACCATTTCTCTTCATCGGGCTAAGCAAAGTAGGTCTGTGAGGAAGCTAATTCATGTCATGTATATAAAGCAAGTCAAATTCCAGCTACTACAAAGCTTTTATGTAAGACTTTGCTGACCCAATAAGTGGTGGAATATAAATAGATCAACAGTACACCCTTCCTTCTGCTGTTCTACCTAATGCTTCCTTGTCTTCAGGATTGAAGAGTATTTGATATAATGAGTCTTAAATCAGGCATTGTTTCCTACAAAAAAACCCCAAAATCCAGAATGAAAACTTAATGGTGTAAGAGTGTTCTTGTGACTTTAGAATGAGAAGCTGAATTAGGAATATACTATTGTTCTTCCTTTTTAATTCATATGTATTAACTTCACAAAGCTGCAACTGCCTCACGCTTTACTTGCTCTCCTTAGCTACCTCTGCCAGGTGGCTTGACATGAGCCTCTTCAAAAAGAGTAATTGTGTTAAACCTATATTAATTTACTTTCTCCTTTTCAATAATACTTAAAATGCCCTCTTCATCCTGCCTGCAGGTCTCCACTGCTGCTTGGAAGATGGAGCACTCTTTATTTTTAGTAACAATATCTCTCATGCTGGGATGGAAGAATCTTAAACCAATTAAACACATTAGAAGATAACAGTGTGTGTGGGTTTGGTTCAAGATCTCCATTTTCTTCACTCTGGGGTATGTCCTAATACCAACCTTTCTATCTAAGATGACAGAAATAGTGTGATAAGCTGCTAACTAGGCAAGCAGTACAGCTGCTGCTTTGTCAGGTATTCCCTTGCCAAAAAAATCACTTGTGATGGGGTTTGCCTTTTTTTTTTTTTTTAATTCCATTACAGTTAAGTTTTATAAATGATCTTGATTTTGACTTAGGAAATTTTTTTCAGATGCCTGTTTCTTTTTAAACATTTATTTTTTTAAAGGAATGAATCTCTTGAGCATGAAGTGTTTTTTCCAATAGAAGAAGATTGTGTGTGTGCACTTTTAAGATTTGATGATTTGTTCTTCCCTTTTAATAATGCTTAGTTACTGGGAAAAAACTTATGAACTGGCTGGACTATTCTGATCCCTTAAAATATGTCTGGATCCAGATATTTTAACTCTGTGTATACACTCTGAATAGCAGGTTGATTTCATTTTTTTATTTGCAGAAGTTGGAAAAACATGTCCTGAACCTGCACATACATCTGTCTAGTCCAGAAAGCCTTGGGCTACACTGACACTAAACCTTTATTCATTTGATATGGAATTTACACAGGTTAGCAATGTCCAGATTGTTTAAATACAAGATATTTTCTAGGAACTGTGGCATGAATTGCTGACCTGCACACTCTCATCAGCAGGGATATAATCTTGAGCTTTTTATTTATTCTTCGTCTTTAATTTGACAGAATACAAAGCATGGGACAGACTGTCCTGCATGGATTTACTTTTACAGTAGAGCATCAATACAGAATAAAGTCTGATAGCACTTTATAGAAGTCTAATGCCCCAAATGTTAACACATCTAGCATTGTTCAGCATGGCAATGTAACTTGTATCATCTCTCTTGGACTGGATTGAGAGATAAATCTGTACAGGGAGAGGCGACAGAGGTCAGTAGTCTACAGTAGTGTTTTCTCTCACCAGAAATAGTAGGTCACTATCACTCTATAATTATGTATTTCAAGAAAGGATAATAATTAAGCTATGAAGCTACGTATACTCTTTGAAGGGCACTTCTAATGTAATACTTTTGAAAATGGCAAATGTGATTTCAGATTACTCCAAGAATTGATGAGGGAAGAGCGACAGGAAGGTAAGGCAAGGCATGGCAAGGAAAAAGGAACATGGTCTATTAGTTAGAGTACTGGTACAGCACTTGGGCAGCTGGGTCAGTTCCTGTGCAACACTGGGTTTGCTGTTCTAGTTAGTGTTTCATCCCAGTTCAGAGGTCCTTGTCTGCTGTTCAGTTTGGCACGACACAGCCTATGGCTGGACCTGTGAGCTCATAATTGCCACTGATATTGATAGTGAACAAATAGCAAGTAAATACTTCTGAAGGGGACCATTTTTTAAAGGTAATACAGGTTTTTGATAATCAAGTGCCCAATTTACTGAACTGCTGTACTGCTGATAGTCAAGAGTGCTTGCATCGCAAGGTGTTCTGAAGATAAATGAATTTGTGAGTGAGATGCTCAGGTTGTCTCATTTGTTATTTTTCCCTCGTGCGTGGCATTTGGTAGATGGCACGCTGCTTTCTATGCAAATAGCTTCACCCTGGCTAGTTTATATGTTTGTCTGTGGGAAGATGTGTCTAAAAATGGTGGATTTTTTTGGACATTTTAAATTATGGTTGGGGCGCTTCCATCCTGCAGATTGCGTTGGCTGGGGACTTTGAGTTTTCCAGCCAGCACCACATGAAGTGCCCAGCCCTGCTGCAGGTTCTTCTTGCCATGCTGCTGCTCATTTTCTCTCTCTGACTTGCCTGCCTACAGCCCCCGTCTCCCTTGGTTTGGTAGCTGGGCACAAATCTACACTTTCCAGCTTTCTGCCAGGATATGGAGGTGGCATATGGGGCCCTCCAGGGATGATGCTTTCCAACTTCTCCCCCTTTCCCTCCTGCCTTAATCCCAGAAGAAGTGGTGGATAATACATGTTGTACAAGTCTAGAAGGACATGAGCAGGCTGCCCTACACTCCCTCTTCCTGTGCTCCAAGTTGTTGCTAAGTTTTGGAAGCTGTAAGGCCATGCCTGTGAAAACAGACCCTGTGCATACATTCTCTGCTTTCTCCTCCCCCTTGCCCTTTCAGTGGGACATGGAAAGTCTGGCCAGCCTTCAGGAAGGGAAAGGCTCCTCACATCTGCACTGAAGCCACCTTCCCTTCCCTCCTCCACACATGTAATTTTAAAACAAATGTTACCCTGTAATGCAAAATTCGCTAAAGCATCTGTTTCTTCCTTGGAGCTCTGGAAACATTTGATCCATGTGATGAGTTTGTGTGAGTCTGCCTGGAAACTGTGTATGTTAGAGGATGAGTTCAATATGCATCTCTCTGGCAGCTCCTATTTATACCTGCGTCAAGGTCCATATTGTCCCTCCCCAGTCGGTTCCTTCAGCAAGTTGGCTTCTCCCCTTCTCCCAGATAGTTTCCAGTATCTTGTCTAGGAAGTACTGAGTATGAAGGATGCACTGCCATAAACCAGCAAAAGGAAACACCTGGAAAGCTGTTGGTTTGTGTGGCCTTACCTCACAAATCCTGCTCTATTTAGGCTGCTGACATTCGTGACGGTGACTCCTTGGAGCCACTCTGGTGAGCTGTGGCGCAGGAGGCTGCTGTGGGGCCTTGGGCTCGCTGACAGCTATATCCCTGTTCAAAATGGCATCGGGCAGGTGTGCAGGCTCCTTGCTCTGATGTTTCAATGTCCGAGTTAGTTACGTTATGAGAGAGATTTTTCAAAGGTGCACTTAAGATCGTTATTAATTGTCCCTTGAAAATGTGAGTATTTCAAACTCGCCTATAACTTTAATGACTAATTCACTGATCTGGGCTTCTTGAAAGCTAGCACAGCCTCACTTGCTGAGAGAAAAGAGAGGATCTCTCTTTGCTTAGTGCTCAGCACCTGAAGAATTCCCATGAGTGGCAGTTACCAGGTCAACAGCAACAGAACAACCCTTGATATTAATATTTTGTAAACTAGGAAAGCAACTTGATAGGGTGTTTTTCTAGTGTTTTATAGGAAGCACTTCTTTCTCTAGCATTTTTCAACCGCTGAAAACAGCAATTGTTTGTGTAGAATTATCTGCTATTGTTAGTAATGTTCTTGCTTCTCTGCAGCACAGTGACATTGCCTTTATCTTTTAGAAGCAATGGGAAATTATAAATGAGGTTAACAAGTGTCAGTCTAAAGTGAAAACTAAATCTGTGACTATACAACTCTTGCATTCATTCAGTTAAAGGGTTGGTTTGTTAATTTTTTTTTTAGGAAAAAGCATCTTTTTTCCTTGGCCTCCTGAGAATCAGAAAACATGATTGAAACTCAGCTGGAGTAGCCTATTTCAGAGCTTAGCAAAGAGCAGTAGGCACAGCATTTAGGGAGGTAGATAGCTTGTTTTCCTTAATTGCTTCCCAATCAGAAATTGGATGAACCTTCGGGATGCAGAAACAGGGAAAATCCTCTGGCAAGGAACAGAAGATCTCTCTGTACCTGGAGTGGAGCACGAAGGTACTGTGTGGCTTTACTGTGCATTTTGGGGCTGGGTGGTGCTGTATGTCGGGGTCACCAGAGTTGCGAGCGTACCCCTGCTTTGAAGGACAGATGTCCTGGCTGTGACTTCGCACCTTCAGAGGCTTCCACCACAATAACCTGGGGACGCATGGAGAAGGGTGGGAGTGGATCAGTGGCTGGCAGAGGGGACAAGTTAAACAACGCTAAGCAGGGAGCGCAGCTGGGTAAGGAGTGAGTGGCCAACCTTTGCTAGGTCAAGTGTTGATTCCAAAATGAAAAGTGTAAAAATGTATTGACTTTTCTCAGTATAACATCAGGGTTTAGTCAAGGTAGAGGTCAAATTGAGAACCAGTGGGGAAGAAGCATACACAGTTATTACCTTGTCTTGCCACAACTCTCCTAATATTCTCCTGCACTAAATTTGACCTCTGCTTTAAAATGGCATACATGGCACATTTGCTCTGCTCTTCCGTCCCTCTACCATTGCTAGGAAGACCTGTTGCCCTTCCACTTCTGTCTTCGCTGATTAGCAGAGGACTTCACTGTCCCTTACTCTTTTTTCTCCATTTGCAACAAAGCACTGTGATAGGTAATGTCCCTTGCCAAGAGCTTTGCTTTGGCTCTGTGAAGAGTCTTACCTCACTGAATTAATTTTGAAGGCTTTTCTATTATGTGAGTACCATAGCTGATCTCCAGTAAGTGGAGTGAACTTGATCATTTAATTTTGCTGGTGACATTGACATATTTTTGGTTAAACATCAAGGACCGAGTTCTGCCTGGCACTACTAGGACTTACCTCTTCCATAAATTGGAAAATCTGTTGCGTCTGAAGGAGGCAAGCAGCGTATAAAGATCCTTTTCTGCCCAGAGAGCGTACAGAAGATCTGTGGCAAAACACTGTGAGTCCAGTAGTCTTCCACCAATATACCTGGTTTCAAAGCCAGCTTAAAGTGCAAGAGAAATGAGTTGCCTTCTCCTCATTTGGTCCCCAGTCAACATTAATCTGCTTTATGATGAGAGTTCATTATCAGGACCAATAGTAGGTTCTCTCAGCTTAAGAGGGGCCTGATGCCAGGAATAGAGGTTGCAGGTCAGAGCTAGAGGAAAGCAAGTACTAAGAGCATTTTCCAAGCTTTGTCTCCTTCAGCCTTGCTAACCTGCACTCCCATTCTCAAACCAGTGGTAACAGCAAAGAGTTCTGCCGATAGGCCTTAACAGATAATTACTCAAGCTTACCATACAAGATACCTACCCTAAAAAGCATTCCAGCACTTTTAAATACACCTGTAGGAAAGCAGTTGAAATACAACTTTAAAAAGAAATGTGGTAATTCATCAGTTCAATAATAAATTTCTTAAATTGCAGGTTAGTGATGCTTTGCCTTCTTGATATAACTGTAATATTTGGCATGCCCACAGCAGCTAACAGGAGACCTAGGGGAAACAATGAATCAGGCTTTAGAAAGCGGAAGAAAATCAGCCAAAAGTATTCCCAATCTTCCTAGATTTTGCTCTGCAAAAGCTTCTCCTTGGATGCACAGCTAGTCTTTGAATCCTCTTCACCCTGTCTCCACAGACTGTTGCACTGCCTCAGTTCAACACAAACTACAGAAAGGTGTGCTTTGGGGCAGAGAGGACAGCTGGAGCTGCGCCTCCTGAGGCTTTCTTGTGTTGCCCCATTTCCCTCCTGCCATCTTTCTCACTTTGGCAAATCGTATCACCTTACTGTGTCTCAGACTTCCCTCACATACAAAACAGGAACCCTCACCTCCATCAGAGGAGCTTGGGGAATTAATTAAAGCATACTCTGGCATGAGATTAATGCCCATTGTACAAGGAATTGTTAAGACCTTATCTGGTGCACAGTTCAGTCATCTATCTAGAAAATGGATGGCTGCAAACTGGGACAGGTGCAGAGAAGAGCTATTAGGAGAAGCCATTGAAAAGATTATGGATAGGAGGATGGTCTTCCTTAGGAGAAGAGAGGAAAAAAGCCATTCTTATATGGCTTAGCAAGAAAAGAAGTCTGAGATGGATAGATTATTGTTGATAGATAGATAGGCTAAAAAAGGGGAGAGGTGGCCAACAAAGGAGGATAATATGACTATGAATTAAAAGAAGGTGTGGGGAAATGCAGTTGTGGTACAGTCCTGCAGCAGAAACAACGAGGGCAAACAGTCAGAATAATTGTTTTAAAATGAAGGCCATGTGTGTCTCCAAGTCATTATATAGGGCTTGTGTGTATGTGTTCTGTGGCCATTCAGGGCAAATCACAGTCTAGACACAGCAAACAAAGAATCAAATACATAGCAGAGTGAATAAGATATATTTCCTTTAAGTGGGACTTCTATTTGATTTAAGTACAGGCCTCTTTAAAAAAAGGAACTCTTTAAGTTTCAAACCATAATACTATATTACTACCTAAACTTACTATTACCACTTAGATTAAATAAAAAGAATATTAATGTGGTATTGGATTGCTGCCAAAGTCTTAACATTAAACCGCTGAAAGTAGTGAAAATCACTGCCTGAGCAGCTGAAACTGGAATTAACCATCTAAACCAGCTTTTGACAGCAGGAGCTTTTCCATGTACCCAGTCAGCCCAATTCAGTGACAGTGCATTCAAAACTGGGAGGCAATCTGGGAGACACAAATCCATAAAGTTTGGTTTCTTCCAATATACAAGCAAATCTTGGAGGAAGCTGCGGAGGCCTAGCACTTGTAGAATCCCCAGTGTTGTTCCCAGTCACCACAGCCAGCTTTCACTCAGGAAATAAAAATAATCCTTTCATTATCTAAGAAAAGATGTAGTTTGAAATATAAAATAAGTTTGCCTAAGATAGCTTGCTTTCTTAAACGTCCCAAATATTTAAGGTAGTTTTATTAAACTATATGAAAACATAATGATACAGATATTTTAACTGAATTTCAGTTTCTAACTAAACGCAGTTGGACTCAAAATTACTTGCTCAGTAAATAAGAAAATTGTCATTCATCACTTTCTAATCTAATCTGAATTAAGTGTCTGACTACATGTTTGTTAGCTATACAAGTGCTTAAATAAATGTGCAGGTATAGTATATCCTCAGGTACACAAAAAGCAGTACTAAATTTAAGATAAAGTCTATGCTTACCTGCATTTCGGCATGTTTTAAAATGGTACTAACTGATGAGAATCAAACTCCTTTCTCTTCTGTCTTTTAAACAGAAATAAAGAGGTACAAAAGCAAAATGAGTTTAAAATAAATAATTTCAATTAAAATTTTCTGCTTGATGGTATACATATCAATTAAAATCTCTTAGATCAGGGGTTTAAAGGGTACACAGTCCCACTTCTATTGAAAGTAGCCTTTTATTTTGTAGTTTGACAATATTAAAGCAAGCATTCTCGGCAGTCTGTCTTGGGGATGAAAGAAATGTAATTACTAAATTGCAGAAGTCGTTTTATACTTAACTGCAAAGGGATGTTTATTCACAACAGGCTGTAGTCTGTACTTGTGAGGGCAGTAAAGGATGGAGCCATGCAGATTTCTATGCCGAAAAAGAAAGAGACTAAAAATAATTAGAGAGCTTTTACATTTAAAACTCTTCCCTTACACTTTTAACTTTCTTTTTTTACCTTTTTGGTTTTTTAAACAAACCGTGGGCTGTGTACTCCTCCATGGGATAGGATGGTAGTTTACATTCCCTACCCTCCAGCTCTCTAGATTGGTTTCGTATCACGGTCTTACTCCATTAAACTGTTCTACATTAGATGGATTTGCCTGGGGTTTGGGGGACTCTTCCTTTTATTAAACAGCAGCCTGCTGTCTGCTCATGGATGTTTTGATACATTTTCCATTTAGGAACAGTTTGGCTCATAAAGCACATGCCAGCTGTGTTCCCTCCCCTCTTTATTTCTAATAAATTTACATGAAACATTTTCTAATATGCAGGAAGGATTATGTGCAATCACACCACTGAAGTATGACAGGCTTGGGAGATTTTTAGTATATTGACTCCCCCCTGTATTCTCCTGATAGGACCTTTCAGCATATTAATCAACGTTCTCAAACTGTCCCTCCTCTTACTCCTCCACCTCTAAAAAAAGCTGGATGAAATATCTACCAGGGACAGTTTTTCACTTGCTGTTGGTGTCTCACCCATTGCAAGAGCCCACATACCTTGGATTGCCAAATTATTCTCTCTCTTAAACTCTCCAGTTTGGTACTGACTTTACTGCCTGTGTGGGTTTCAATGTTTGGGGAATAGAGGTTTTGCGTACTTTTACAGGACGACTTCCCAGAGCTATGTGAGATGGCTGAAACGGTGCTGCTGGGCTGAGAAGTAGCCGTTTGTGGTTTGCTGGGGATGCACAGTCTGAGAGGGAAGGAGAAGTGAGAAGGGCTAACACGCTTGGTGTACTAAGCAGCCCTTCAGCTGCTTGTGATCTTCAACACACTGCCTAAAGTAAAGATTTACGTTGCATCTCATATTTCGACTTGAAGAATTGTGGGTTTTAGTAATAAACAGCTGAGAACCAGGAGTCTGAGAGATCAGTGTTGTATCCCCAGTTCTGTCACAAGTTTCATTCCTGGCTCTGGGCAAGGTACTTAACCTGTTGGCATCTTGGATTCACTCCTGCAAATGTAGAAACAAAGTCCTTTGTGTTTGCATTTCTCCTGCTACTATGATCTTGCACTAGCACTAATCATCATTTCAAAGTATGTTATAATAGCACCTGAAGCAGCTGGGTTTGTTTTATTGTGTCCAAATAATGCTTCTTTATCTGTTTCACAGCTCGAGTTCCTAAAAAAATCCTGAAATGCAAAGCAGTGTCTCGGGAGTTAAACTTTTCCTCAGCAGAACAAATGGAAAAATTCCGACTGGAACAGAAAGTTTACTTCAAAGGGCAGTGTCTAGAAGGTATGCATCTGCTCCGTGTGCAGCCCTGCTGCAGCACAGCGAGTGACCCCCAGTGCGCAGGGATTAGGGAAACTAAAATGGGTTGAACGTGGTGATTTTATTTTTTCAGAGTAGCACTGAAGCACTCATCTTGTCAGGACTAATGGGCCACAGTATTAGGGATAGCATTTCATAAGTGTATTAACACTTCGTTATGTAAGCAAAAAAGCTGGGTAATCATGCTTCAGGGCATAAATCCACCGCAGGCTGCCTGAGGCAAGGAAACAGGTTATTTTAGAGTCACCCACTATGGGGATTCGTGCATCTTCCTCAGAAGCACCTGGTGCTGGCCACCACCACACTGGAGGCCAGACTAAAGGAGCCTCTGGTTTACTTTCGTTACAGCACTGCCACTGAGTAGTGTCCGTGTGACTCCGTAGCTGCACATCTGATCTCCCTCACTGCAGTATTACTCTTAATCTGGGGTGGAGGAGGGGAAGATAAAACATTGAGCTCCTTGTCTTTTGGGCAACCAGTTGTACACTTAGTCTCAACTGGATCCAGGGGATGTCTGCAAGAGGGGGAGTGTGGTTTCCCTGTTCCAAATGAGGTGTGATGAAATTTCCACCGAACGCTAAGGAAGTGGTATGACTTTATCGTTGCCATCAGCTATTCTAGAAAGGGAGTATCACCTTTAAGAGGAGGGCAGGGTTCAGTGCAGTTTAAGCTGTACAAAGTAATTTAAATGTAAAATGTTGGCAGCCCAGCAGGACAGTTTAGGGAGTTCCCCAGCCTGTCAGGTGAAAAGCAAAAGGACCATTTATGGATTTTATCTTCTTTCAAATGCCTCTGGATCTTCTTTTTACTTTGCAGAATGGTTCTTTGAATTCGGTTTTGTGATTCCTAACTCAACAAACACTTGGCAGTCCTTGATAGAGGCAGCACCTGAATCACAGATGATGCCAGCTAACGTTTTAACGTGAGTGCCTTGGGCTTACAGAATCTGAGAGCAGGCAAAGAAAAAGCAGTGTGTGGCATTTCCTTGGGGGCCACCGTGGGAATGAAGAGACAGAGCTGCTAGCAACTCTGAATCACCCTCACTACTGTTAGGTGTTGAGAGATAAAAGGGGCTAAGCCAACCTCATTACCTTCTTTCCCATAGGTCCAATTTGCATTAATATAGCAATAAAAGTTTGGAGAAAGTGGAACTGATCCTTTATTAGAGTTGCTTAATTTTTTTGAAAAGTGAACCGTGAAAGGATTTAAAAATGCTTTGCAGCTTAATACCCCATACATCCAGGAGAAAGAAAAAAAAAAAAAAGAGATGTTTGGGCCATTTTCAAATCCAGCTATTGATCACTGACTCTTGTCCAAGGTGGTTGTCTTTCATGCAATGTATCACCCGTAGGATCTGCTCTAGCGTTTGTTTCATCACTGTACCATTTTGCCAAGCTTTCTGCCTTTTACATTGGATTATGCATTTGGTCATATGGAATTGTATCTGGGGATAAAATACCCTTAACAGATAGGAAACAGTCATTTTACAGTCACCTGTACTGGGATTCACACACTTGCCTCAGAAACGTCTAGTCCTGGCCGCTGTTTGCACGTTGACTTCTGAGTAGGTCAGTGATCCCTAGGACTTGTGTCAGAGTAACACGTGCTGGGCACAGCTCTGAGTGTGGACAGCACGGCCCAAGCTTTCGTGAGATGATGGAAAAGGTTCCTTGAGGGAGGCCCCTGGGAAACTGTCATCACTGACAAAAAGCCACCCTCCCTGCAGTGCTGGATGGGTGCTGGCAAACACATGAGAGCACGCTGCCAGCAGAGACAGAAGGGTATGGGAATCCTCCTGCCAACAAGAGGCAGACAGGGAGCAGCCAGTCTCACCACAAGGTCACTATGTCCTCTGGAAGACCTTCCTCCCCAGCGTTTTCCCTCTCGTTCCCTGTCTGGAGGAAAGCCAGTCGCATAGAGATGGCACCGGGATGGGAACTACCGTCACTGATTTCTATTCACAGCATGTTTCAAAGAGAGAGCGGACTCGGAAGACAGCATCACTGTTCAAATAGTGCTCCCTGGCATAATCTGCTCAGAACCTCGTAGGTGCTACATACATCCTCGGCTCCCAGAGCTGGTGGCTTACAGACAATACAGCAGAAGCCAGATTTCACAGAATCACAGAATTTGGGAATCGGAGTTAAGAAACAAAGACATCTGACAAGTTGGTTTTGACCATTTTGGGAAAACAAGGCATTTCCAGGACTGGGAGTCACATAAGTCCAGTTCTCAAGTAACCTTGAGGATTTTCCAGTGTCCCATTCTTTCCATGGAGTCTGTCCACTGGTAGTGGGCAGCCCAGATCTCTCTCCTCTTCATGGAGGTGTCCTAAAGTTATTCCTGAGGCTTTTCAGTAGAATCACCAGCCCAAAGAAATCCAAAGTTTTTTTGTGGCCCAAAGAAATCAGCTTTTTTTAGCTGCAAAGACTCAGAAAGCCCCTCACTTTCTGATATTCCCAAAGACCCAATGTTTGTCTCCATGTTTCCGTAGCAGGAGAGAACAGAGATGTGGTATTTGGTGCTAACCGAGGCACTCTGCACAAAGGATTCCCAGCACGACTGAATATCAGACTGAGAACATTCCCTGACATTTGAGTTCAAGCATTGTCCACGCCACAGCAAAAACCTTGTGCTCTTGCCAGGGTTGGCTTTGCCAGTGTTACGGGTACCAAGAGCCAGCATGGAGATGGACCTGCTGCTTCGGTTTGTCAAGAGCCAGGTTATTTAGACATGGCCAGATCGCACTGCTCAGGTGTCCAGGTGTTGTAGTGACCCCGAAGTTCTTACCTTCATCTACCAAAATCTCAAAGTCAGCAACTTAAATCATCAGAGCTTTTGTCACACCCAAATCTACATTTCCATTGCAGTTTGTATAAAATATGCATGTGCGTTTGCATTTAAGCACTTCTTGAGGGAAATGACATGTTAAGGTGGTTGAAGCAGCTTGCTCAGCACTAGAGGACAGAGGTGGGGAATGAAAAAAGAATTCCCATCGGTTTTCACGATTCACTGCAAGAGAGAGAGGGGCCTGAAGGTGCTGGGGCTGCTAGTTTATTTTTAGCACTAGACGTGAGCAGACGTTTGCTGTTTGTGAGCACTCTGCAGCCTGCGTGGTGCTGTGCCCAGAACGGGGCTGCAAGGGAGGGATGGGGGGAACTGCTCCGTGGAGGAATGCAGTGGAGAGATCCTTCAGCCCTGGTGGCCCCCAGATCGGGACACAGTGTGCACTGCGCGTGGCTCCAAACCAAAGCTCGCATTGCACGGGGTAAGATGTCAGCCCAGGCTTGTGAGAGCACTGAGAGCAGCAGTCGTTCTCCACTGTTTGTGCACCCTTCTAATACCTTGTCCTTCTCTTTTCCTTCCACAGCGGTAATGTTATTATAGAAACCAAATTCTATGATGACGACCTTCTCGTAAGCACTTCCAGAGTGAGACTTTTCTACGTTTGAGATGGGGCTTTTTGGAGCTGTTTTAGTTTTCCTCCATGCAGTTCTCGGTGCAGAACCCCCCCGACTATCCAGTGGAAGACACTCCTGTAGGCGGTGACCCTGGGGACCAGCTCAACGCGGGTTGTGACCTTTGCCCATCAGTTATTTTGCTTTCTCCTCTGACAAGACCAGACCAAACCCTCAGAGACAGGACCATCTGCTCAGCGATGCACTGGGGAACAGAGGCTGTCTCTGAACGCGGGAAACGATGGTCGTGCAGAACCAATGCTGTAAATTCTGTTAGTCTCATCCTTTGTACTTCTCTGGATCCTGATACAGTCCCCAACTCTCAGTGCGTCTCATTCTCGGGGGATTGAGTTAACCTTTTCATTTTTCTCATGTTGTAGGTTTTTATCCTTTCACTGGATTTCTGTGTAACTGGTCCACACATCCTCTTACCCTGAACTTGTAAAATAGACTGTGATATCACCTAATGTAATTAAAACAAGTTTCTCAATTAAAACATTCCTACCGTCCAAAGAAGGGAAGAAATGTTAGTTCTGTGCGTTTTCCTTTGTTAGAGCAATGCCTCGCAACAGGCACAAACTCCCGTCACTCAAGCCAGCAGCAGAACGGGCCATTCCACAGCCCTGGTTCTTCCACAGCCCCCATATCCTTAAATTTCTCTCCCTCCAGCTGACCAGGTAGGAAAAGTTTCCTGACTGCTCCTTGGCCTCATTTCTGTCCGTTAATCCCTCGGGGCAGTTTGTCCTGATTGCCCAGTCACCGGTTCCTCTGAGCAGCACCGCACGCCGTTCTGCTTTTCTAAGTTCCCAGTGTGAGCCCCGCTGAGAAACCTGTGTTCCCCAAGCCCACGGCATCGGCCGCACACCGGGCGAGCTCCCCGAAGCCGTGGCTGCCGAGAGCAGCAATCCCCGTGCATGCGCACGCAGCTTTAATGACACACAGTGGCAGTTTTGCTAGGACAGGCTTCTCAACCCCTGCCGCTGCTCTTTCCCCTGGTCATTTATAATCGGCTCTAGCTCGTGTAAATCTTGGGAAGGGGGCACCT